ATCTTTTGCAAGCCTTGGCTCATTCTGAGTTTTAGCCTTTCTGAAACGGTTCCTACAGTTTCTGGATACTATTTTGTACTCTTTTTTAGTTATGTTCCTCTGGTTCCATTTCCTATATAGGTCTCCTTTTCTGCTAAGCATGTTAGAGAGTGTTGCATATATCCATGCTAGCCTCTTTAGATGAAAGCCAGCTGGGTGACTTTGGGACAGTCTCTTTCAACCCAACCCAACTCACAGGGTTGTTGTTGTCGGGAAAATAGTTGGTGGGAGCATTAGGTAAGTATGCTACCTTACTTGACAAAAAATAAAGGCAGAATAAATCAAATAAATAAATAAATTTCTCCTTTTTTCCCCCTTCTTGTGAGGATTGCTACCTTCAGTGGCAAATGTAATAGAATTTCCTGTCTTCCTGGACATTTTTCTCCTTAAGGATTTAAAACCATTGGATTTTACCTACTTTCCCTCTGAGTTCATCACAATCTGCTTTTCTGAAGTTGAGTGTGCAGGGTTGACTCTTCTCAGTTTCTCTTCCTCTGGGATGTCAGAAATTTAAGGTTAGCATGATCACTTTTCACCAGATTGCCTTCATTTCTACAATGAATTCCTCCCAGTTTGTGAGGATTGGATCTAGGATAGCAGACCCCCTTGTTTTTTCATCCATCTTTTGACAAATGAAGCTGTCAGGAACAGAGGACAAAAATGTATTGGATCTCTGACAATGGCATAGTTACATTCTCAGCAGATGTCAAATTAGTTGAAATCCATTGTTGTTGTTGTTGTTGTTGTTGTTGTTGTTATATTTATATAGCTGCCCATCTCACAGATGTGACCCTGGTTGGCTTGTTATTGCATGTCTCTTTGAAAGGCTAATAATCTGATGCAGAAACACTTCATCTCTATCTTCTGCCTGCATTGGTGCCTATTCTAAGCTCCCACAACAGTATAACTTTATTTCTCTCTCCTTTTATTCTTACTCAGATACCAAAGGGGGCAAATATATGTAGCTCAGGGTCCTCAGGGTTCTCTGAGCTTGGTTCTTTTCTTGCAAACATTTCATCTTACCGGCTAGGTAACATCTTCAGTGCTGGAATGGGATGGGGTTTGCTCTGTTTATATACTATGGCATGCCCTGCCAGTGTTGTTGGGGGTGGGGGTTTTGTTTTGTTCCTCTGGTAGTTCCTTGATTAGGGTATTGTTCACTGCTTGAATGTGTGCCTGGTGGTAATTTCTGCTTCTCTGGGTGGTGATTGCTGGTGAGATGTCCTGGTCTTTTGTTTTCTTTTCTATTGTCTCTTCTGCATAGTGTGTAGATGTTGTTTATCTCTATGTGCCTGTTGATGGCTGCCTTGTGTGAATACCAAGCTTCTAAGAATTT